CTCCAGGCCACAGGTCAAGTCCAGCCCTGGCCTGTTCTGTATGGCCCCCAGCTAAGAATGATGTTTGCATTAAAAAAAAAAAATTTTTTTTTTAAACAGGAATATGTGACAGAGACCCCATGTGGCCCCAAAACACCTGAAATATTTATTGTCTCACCCTTTTCAGGATCCCTGATCTAGCCAGCTGATCTTGCATTTTGGGGTCCAGGGCCAGGATTCTGGGTCCTTATGAATGTCTTTGTCCCCCAAAATATGTTGTGTATCCTCATCCTTCCTTTGCCTAATTAATTCATCCAGCAGAAGGCCCAATGCTGGGAGGCACATCGCATTTGTGGGGACATGTCACCTGCCAGAGAACCCCTCTGGACACACAGGCATCGGTAGAGATTCCCCCTCACGCTCCTCTCCAAGGGTTGGCGATGGTGGAGAGAGAGGAATAAGGGTTAACGCCTTCCTGTGCTCCATCGGGGTTCTGTCCGGGGCAAGGACATGCCGAGGCCTCCGAGCCTGCATCCTGTCTCTTAGCCGCCTCTGCAGCCAAGGCCCCATGGGTGATTCCCTACCATCAATCACATCCTGCCGTCCGATCGGGCCCTTGGACACCCGATTATTTAATGTTCACTTTTATGCTGCCGTACATGCACTCAGTGTATGTGCAGGTATGTGTGTATACGTGTCCCACACCATGTTTTTTAAAATGTTTGTTTTCATTCATTGTCAACTGTCTCAGAGATTTACACGGTTAGAATGTCTCCTGTGGGGGGCTGTTTCTCTGTTTTCCGTGTCCATCTCCATTATGGAAAAGGAAACAGTCAGGTTCCTGAGTGGAGGAGCTGGGAATTAAGAAATTAAAGAAAGAAAGAGGCCAAGAGGCAGAAATAGATTCATCAAGCTGGGAGCCAGGTAGGCGCCCTTCTCTCTGATGGAGAATCAGCAAGCACCCGAGCCACGCAGCAGGTTTATTTATAGGGTCAAAGGAGCTTATTTGCATTCTTAACTAGGCCCTAGCATTACTGGATTTACATATCTAGACCCGCCCCTGCTGACACCTGGACAAAGGTAAGTCAGAAACTGAATAACACCCTCAGCCCTCTGGAGGGTGGGGGGTGTAACAGGGACATGGTCTCTGACAGTGCCTCGGTCTCAGCTGAAAGGATGTCCATGTGCCTTCTCAGGCGACCCTCTACAGTCTCCAGCTTCCCCTTCCGTGGGCCAGCGGTCCCTGTCTGTGCTGAGGAAGGCCCTGGGAGGAAGGTGCCTGCTGTACATAGAGATGGGAGTGTTTGATCACCCCCGGGGATTGCATCTCTGACATGAGGGTCTTCTTTTCAGAATCACCATTTCAGTCTCTGCTCTGGGAGAGTGACTCCAGTTTGGGGGGACAATTCTTAGCAAAAACCCAACAGATCCGTCTGGGCCTCTCCGGCTTCGTCGCTGACTTCGTGGCTGTAGGAGACACTCTCAGGGCCTGCTGGTCCTTTCCCTTTGGAAGAGTCCTGCTGTCCTTCCAGCTGGAACGCTGACACTCCATGAAGACCAGGCTGTTGTCTGGGGTGCTGCTCATGCCTGGGATCTTAGGAAGAATGCAGGGCGTGTACCTGGTACTTTCTTGCAAGTGTATGTTTAGAAAAAGGGACACTTTGGCCAACTCTCAGAAGGACTCAGGACACTGCAAGAGCCCGTGGTGTCCTATTCCTGCTAGAACCTCTGAGAGCCCCTGCAGCACAGGTGACAGGAGGTGGCAGGGTCAAGGCCAGGCCCAAGCTTCCAAACTCCTGGCACGGCTGGACAGTAGAGCACACTGCTTTCCGTGGATTCACCGAAAACGTGAACATCTCTTCCCGGGGTGGGTCGAGAAGGCACCCAGCACTGCCTTGCACAGGGCAGGTCAGCAGTCATGTTCAGCAGAATTATTCAGAGAGATGGATGTTCGCTATTCTGGGAACATCGCTGGAGGAAAGTGTTTTTTCTTTTCTTTTCTTTTTTTTTTAACTCCAGATGGTCTGAGATGTCTGTCTCATAAATCAGAATTGTATGATTATTAAAATCATCCTGAATCTCAAATAGACATTCATAAAAGTGTTCCTTTTGTCCCTTCCCACTTCTACAGTGAGAATTTGTGGACAGTATGTGTATTCTTTTTCCCCCGTTTTTTAAATTAAGGTATTATATGTGTACATATTTTACCATTGCCTCCCCCCACTCCCACACATGCCTTCACCCCCCAGCGTTTTGCGTCCATTGGTTATGTTTATATGCATGCGTACAAGTCCTTCAGTTGATCTCTTATCTCCCCTACCCCTTCCTAACCTTCCCACTGTGATTTGACAGTTTGCTTTACTGCCTCTGTATCTATCTTTTTGTTCATTGGTTTATACTGTTATTATCCATAAATGAGTGAGATCATGTGGTATTTTTCTTTCATTGACTAGTTTATTTCACTTAGCATAATGTTCTCCAATTCCATCCAGGTTGCTGCAAATGGTAAGAATTCCTTCTTTTTTATGGCAGCATAGTATTCCATTGTGTAGATGTACCATAGTTTTTGGATCCAATCATCTGCTGACGGGCACCTAGGCTGTTTCCAAATTCTGGCTATTGTAAATTGTTCTGCTATAAACATATGGGTGCATATATCCCTTGTGATTGGTGTTTCTAGTTTCTTAGGATATATTCCTAGAAGTAGGATCACTGGGTCAAATGGGAATTCCATTTTCATTTTTTTGAGGAAACTACACACTGTTCTCCACAGTGGCTGCACCAGTCTGCATTCCTACCACGTGTTTGTATTCTTGGGGAAGGCAGTTATGTGTGAGCTCACTGTTTGTTCCTATTCACCGGTGCCCCCTCTCCCCTGCAGACCGGCTGCTGCCTTCCCGGGGTGGCGGACACCGACGGGCAGGAAACACCTGGCTGCAGTTTGCCTCTGCCTCCATCCCCACTTCTGAACTCTGAAATGAGGCATCTCTGGAAATCTTGTTCAGGGTGAACGTCGATGACCAATGGAGAGGGGGTGCCATCAGGAGCTGGCTTTGCTGGTTACAATGGGATTAAGCAGTTAAAAGCTCTGAGAGTCACTTACAATTTTCCCACCTGTGACTATATTAAACCAAGGGCCAGTGAGAGGGTCAGAAGTGACTGGTCCTTGGATCATTCAAAATAAATTCAGGCCCGGCCAGCATGGTTCAATCGGCTTATGAACTAGGAGGTCACGGTTCGATTGCCATTCAGGGCACATGCCCGGTTGTAGACTTGATCCCCAGTGTGGGACATGCAGGAGGCAGCCAATCAATGATTCTCCCTCATCACTGATGTTTTCATCTCTCTTGCCCTCTCTGAAATCAATAAAAATATACTTAAAAATGAGTTTAGAACAACATGCTAAGCGAAATAGGCCAGGCAGGAAAAGTTAAGAAGCGTATGATTTAATTTCATTTAATCAAATCTGGGATGTAAAACTAAGAGCAACAAATGAACAGACAAAACTCATAGACACAGACAACAGTATGGTGGTTCCAAAAGGAAGGCAAGTGGGGGTGTAGCAAAAGATAACGGGGGTCAGTAGATGGTGACGGAGAGCAATTTGACTTTGGGTGGTGGGTGCCCAATGCAACATACAGATGATGTATCATAGAAATGTACACTTGAAACCTATATAATCTTATTAACCAATGAGAGGCCCGGTGCATGAAATTCGTGCATGAGGTTGGGGTGGGGGTGGTGATGACCTCAGCCCAGCCTGCACCCTCTCCAATCTGGGACCCTTTGAGGGATGTCCAACTGCCCATTTAGGCCCGATCCCTAAACGGGCAGTCGGACATCCCTCTCACAATCCAGGACTGCTGGCTCCCAAATGCTCACCTGCCTGCCTTCCTGATTGTCCCTAACTGCTTCTGCATGCCAGCCTGATCACCCCCTAACCATTCCCATGCCAGCCTGACTGATGTCTAACTGCTCCCCTGCCAACCTGTTTGCCCCCAATTTCTCTCCTCTGCCAGCCTGGTCACCCCTAACTGCCCTCCCATGCAGGGTTGATTGCCTCCAACTGCCCTCCCTTGCAGGCCTGGTTTGTCCCAACTGCCCTCCCCTACTGGCCATCTTGTGGTGGCCATCTTGTGTCCACATGGGGGCAGAATCTTTGACCACATTGGGGCTGCTGTTGTGTGTTGGAGTGATGGTCAATCTGCATATTATTCTTTCATTAGATAGGATAGAGGCCTGGTGCACGGGTGGGGGCCAGATGGTTTGTCCTAAAGGGTGTCCCGGATCAGAGTGGGGTTTCTCTTGGGGCATGGGGCGGCCTGGGCGAGGGGTCTGTGGTGGTTTGCAGGCCGGCCACACCCTTTGCTGACCCAAGCAGAGGCCCTGGTATCTGGAATTTATTTACCTTCTACAGTTGAAACTTTGTAGCCTGGAGCGGAGCCAAGCCTCCTGCTCACTAAGTGGCTGCCGCCATTTCTGTTTGGATTTGTTTACCTTCTATTGATATAATTGAAACTTTGTAGCCTTGAGTGGAGGCTTAGGAAAGGGCAGGCGGAAAGCTTGGCTTCTTCCGTTGCTAGAGAAACCCAAGCCTCCCTCCTGTTCTCTGTGGCCATAGCCATCTTGGTTGGGTTTATTTGCATACTTGCTCTGATTGGCTGGTGGGCATGGCTGGAGTGATGGTTCATTTGCATATCACTCTTTTATTAAGTAGGATGTCACCCCACTAAGTTTAATTAAAAAATAAAATATACATTAAAAACAAACAAACGGTTCAGAACAATGCTGGCCCCTGTGCTTCTTGCCGGCACTTATTTTCAGAGCTCTAATCAGCTGCTGGGACAGCTAATAACTCGGTTTCCCACCACTTCTGCACGCCTCACAGCTTCACTGGCTCAGCCCCAGTCGGGATCCATCCCTTTGCACACTGTGCTCTGTATGTGGAGACACATGGTTTGAAACTTTCTCCCCAGCCCGACCCCCCCAAAGAGAGGCAGTTTGAAAACAGGACAGTTTCATTGTGTTTTTTTCTGCCTTTATTATGTTTTTGCATTTGATACAAACCACTCTTGTATACCACACAAATACATCCATTCTTGTGATTTTTAAAGTGCATTTCCCCTTTAACATTGTGTACAAAAATATTTATTTATTTTTCAAAACGTGGAAATTTATTGACAAGGCACTTTTAGGCGTCAAATGAAGCTGAGTCACTTCAGCTGGACATTCACATTGACATCAGAGTGAAACATCACCCTCACAGCTGCATTCCTGGAGTCCCTCCCCCTCCCCCTCCTGCCCCAGCAATCTCTAGGAACTGAGAACAAAACTGTAAAAAACATTCACAGCTTTACGACCCGGGCTGCAATGCTTTCCGACCACAGTGGGGAAAAGCCGCCCAGAACCACAGCTACCCTTCCCCGCCCCAGGTATGTCCCACTTCAGGAAGTGGAGTAGCTGCCAATCTGTCTCTGGAGGACCCTGTGAGATCCCACTGTCAGTTTCACGCTCCCCATTCAGCGGTCACGTCTGAAGAGAGAAGGAGATCGGGACCTCCCAGAGCAGAGCCATGAGGCCTGTTCAGCAAACACATCCATTCGAGGAATTTTAAAGGAGGAAACAAATGAAAAAACCACCAAGGTTTCCATTCACTGTCCATTAAGAGCCAGAAACAGGCATTTCTAAAAAGTGAACAAACCATTTTGAGGGTATATATATATATATATATCCCAGTGCCTACAAAGTGATTCTTGTTTTTATAAAGCAGATTATATGCAAAGATCAAAACCACAAATTCATTTAGCAGTTCAAACTTCACATCTTTACAAAACATCGAAAGAGTCCTATTTTGCCACCATTAAAATTACATCTCAGAGAAAAAAAAAATAAATTCTACCTTGATTCTGAAATTTCTAGAGAACTACATAACTCTATTTCTCACCAGCTCCCATAGAACAAGAATATTAAACAAGAGAGGAGAGAGAGAGAAACCCACTCAAATGCTTCGTCTCTTCCGAGAAACGCGGAAAGCTTGTTTATTCTACCTTTATAGAGTCCAGCTTATTTATTGCACCTAATTTGCAAGTGCTCCCCAGGGCACGGGGGGAATAAATAGGAAACCAAAATGGAGCTGCTTGCCCATTCCTGGAGCACCACACCAGCAGCAGAAGGCTGGGCTTTCTGGGGGGGGGGGACTCGGTCATCACCACCAAGAGCTGTCTGAGGGCCAGACCTGCAGGTCAGGCTGCAGGGAGGTCTGCAGCGGAGAACATGTCCCTCTCTCCAGCGTGCAGACCTGGGGGCGGAGGGTGGGCCATGAAGAGGCACCTCTTGTTCTGGGAAGAGGACTGCCTGGTGAGAAGGAGAGTCTTCTCCAGATCCTCCCACCTCCATGAATGGCAATGCTGACAGGGAAGTCGGGCAACCAGATTCCTCAGTGAGAGCAGGGTCTTTGCAAGCCGGTGAGGACTTGCCCGGTGGGGTGAGTGTCCCAGGTGCACTGGCTGGGGAGGGGGGAGGGAGGACGTACAAGCAGAGCCGCCAGCAAAAATATCTGGGGAGAGCTGGGAGCAAAGCAGGGGAGGGGGAGGGTTTAGGGCTGTTGTAGAAGAGATACTTATCACTGAATTACCCTATTTCACATTCTGACACAGGAATGCCTTAGGATCACTGTTACTGACAGCCAAACACAAGTAGACTTGAGGTGTCTTTCTCGTCTTTCTCGTGAGCACAGGATGATCTCATCACCGTAGCCGGGGAACGTGTCAGCGACAGTGCACCTTGTACCTTTCCTGAAACGGAGGCGGAGGAGGATCGGGGAGAGTTCTTAACACAAAATCAACACTTTGCTCCTATTCATTGTAGATTTACACTCTTCATAGCTCTGACCACCAGATGCGCGACACAAGGTGCTCTCTGTGCACCTGACGCAAGACATGCTTGGATCAAACACAGTTCTGCCCCCCATGTCGGCGTGAGCAAATGTGATTTTCCCATACATTACATGGTCATGGCATTCCCTCCGTGCTGCCCACCTGGGAGAGGCATCGTGAACAATAAGGCACGGGATGGCAGACTAGTAACAGCCAGTTTTAGAAAGAAGAATGCCATTAAACACAGCTTACAGAGTGTTTAAAAAGCAAAAACATTTTAAAGTTAAAAAAAAAATCCAAAAAATAAAACACCCACCCACCAATCTCCGGGAGCCAAGACTCTCCGCGCCTGCCCGATGCCCGGCAGGATCTACGGAGAAGCCGGGAGGTGTTTCCTGATCGATTTGGAAAATGCAAACGGAAGGAGACTCTCTGCCTGCAGAGTCCAGTAGCTGTGCGTCCCTCTCTTCCTGCCTCCCTTCGGAAAACCTCCCTTTAGGAAATCAGGCAAAAGAATCATTTAATCTCAAAAAAAAAGAAACAAAAACAAAAAAACAGAAAAACCCCAAACCTTCTACAAATACACATGTAAAAATATTTTCAACACCCCCACGTACAAACCAGTCTCTCCCCAAAATGATCACAGGAGCTGGGGGGGCCATCGGACAGGGCACGTTCCAGCAGTCTCACAACCGCCTGACCCACCAGACGTTTAAGTCTTTGTCCATCCTGGTGGAGAACAGTCCCTGCCTGCTGTTTCAGAGCCGGCAAACACGGGGGAGCTTGGGTGTTCCCCCTCTGCCCCTTTCACATCCTCACACCCCATAAACAAAGGACACCCACATCAAAGTCCCTGGGTGCTTGTAAAAGGTCCCGGGTCCTGAAAACCACAGTCAAAATAAAAGCACACATTTTTCGGGAGGCTGATGAGGATGTACTGGGTCTGCCAATCGAAATGTCCTTGAACAGTGTAAAAGATGAGTCTGCAGAAGGGGCGATCTAATAAAATCCTTGTATAAGGAACGAGACGCCTGCCAACCGGCCGAGCGAGTTGAAACAGCCCCTTGTCAGGGAGCCTTCTGGCGGCTCCGGGGGAGTCTGAGTGCTTAAAAAGCTCCCCCAAAAGCCAAGAGGAGAAGCGAGACGTGTCCCACTGGCGGCTGTCCCGCCTGTCGGGAGCCAGCGATCTGCACCGCTGCCAGGGCAGACGCCGGTGACTCTGGATCGCCGGCCGGAATACACACAGAGCTGCTCTCGGCGGGGGCCCAGCGAGAGGAAATGCCTGTCTCCCAGGCCGATCTGCCTTTAGCATCTTTTCCTGAACATCGGATGAAGTGTCGAAGAAAACCTCCAAAAAAAAAAAAAAAAAAAAAAAAAAGGCATGGAGACAAAATGTGAAGAACGTGTAGCAGCAAGAGGTAGGAAGGCCTGGCCGGGTGGAGGGGAGCCAGAGAGCGGCCAGGGGCCGGGCAGCGGCTGCGGAGGGAGTGACACTCAAGTGACGTGACTTTCCTAAGCCGCTCCTCCTCCTCCTCGCAGCCCGGGCCCCCTCTGGGTCGTGTCCGCCGTCCCCTGGCCTTGCCAGCACGGCCTGCGGGCCTGGCTCCCGCCCAGACCCTCCCTGGCACCCTGCTGCCCGCACCTCGGGGCTGCCACGGGTGCCGAGCAGACCGGCGCGCCACGGCCGCTCCGCGCGTGGCCCTGGTTGTGTGGTCTCCGCCGGGCTGGACGTGCTGGCTGGAGGAAAAAGTGAACAGGATCCTTTCTTCTTCGGAAAGTGTGCCTCCCGGCAGTTCAGCTATTCTCTCGGCTTCCCGTCTCCGTGCCGCTGGCTGTGACTGCAGCTGGGCTCGATCGCACCCGCTCGGCTGGGCTCCGGCGCACGGACGGGGTCACTAGTAGTAGGGCCCTAGCTTCTCGTAACCTAGGTAACTGGGCCACTCGGGGAACAGGCCGTAGGAGCACCGAGGGCTCCCGAACTGGTCGAAGGCGATCCCCAGATCGGGCCCGTTGCGCGGCTCGGCCGGGCCCGGGGGGGACTTGAGCTCCGCCCGGGTGATGCGGTAGTTTTTGCCTTTGTTGCTGTCCCAGTACGTCTGCCCGTTGCACTCGTAGCACACGGCGAACTCCATCCTCTCGTAGGACTGGATCTTCTCCGGCAGGCGGATGTCGAAGGAGAACGTGTCCCTGTCTGAACTGGAGTAGGTGTCCTTCACGTAGCAGCAGGGGAAGTCTGTGAAGCTCTTCCAGGTGTCGAAGGTCATCCTGATCTTCACCGTCTTCTCGAACGCCAGGTTCCGCACCTTCACGGTGCCCGCCACGGCTCTGTCCTTCAGCACGCAGTTCTCCAGGCAGACGTGGTCGGCCTGCAGCCGGTTCCTGAAGTCCAGGTAGTCTGCCGAGGGCTGGGAGAAATCCAGCACAAAGCTCTCGCTCTCCGCTGTCGTCAGACTCACGATGTTGTCTAGGAGCTCGGTGATGTTGAACGGAATATCTAGCGGGTCATCAAACTCCGAGAACACTTTGACCATTGTCAGGGCCAGCCCCTGGTTGTCTGCGAAGGACACGCGCTTTTTCACCTTCTTCTCCTGCACGGCGGGGGCCACCACGCCGCTGGCTTCATTCTTGCTGCTCAGCTGAATGCAGGGCCTCAGGGGTTTGCTGGGCTTCGGCGAGATCTTGAAGGCGAACCTCTCTCTGCGCAGGGAAGGGGCCATGCAGCTGTACCTGCACTCGATGTCCACCGCCATCATGGGGTTAGAGGAGCAGGCTAGGACGCTGGCAGAGGGGGAAAGAAAGAGACAGCAGTGAGATTCAGACGGACATTGCTTTTCTTCATCTCTGTCCACTCGGCTGCTGTGCAGTACTAACTCAAGCGTGGTCCACATTAATCAGAGACAGAGACTGATGAACAAGAACAGACCCAGAGATAAGGAGCCGTGGGTCCAGACTGTTGGACCTCAAAGGAAGGGTGGGGATGAAAGGGAGAGATCAATCAAAGGACTTATGTGCACACACATGAGCCTAACCAGTGGTCAAGGACAATAGGGGGTTGGGAGCATGAGTGGGGAGGGGTGGGGGATTGGAATGGGGGGTTGAGGACAAATATGAGATACCTTAATCAATTAAGAAATAATAAAAAAAATAGATAGTAACAAAAAAATGGGAAAGCCAGAGACAGGATGGGCTCGATCCCATTTTCCAAAAGAATGGCAGCACGTCCCTAGGATGCAGCAGGCACTTAGCGATGACCAACTGGAGGAACACACACATTCAGAGAAAAATAAAACAATCATTACTAGCCCTAATGTAGCTCTCTAGACATTTATTTTTATTATTTTTAATCTTTATTATTGAAAGGATTACATATGTCCCCTTTTTCCCCACCACTGACCCCTTCCAGCCCATCCCTGACCCCTCCCCCAGGCCTCCACCACCCAATGGTCTGTGTCCACGGGTTATGCATGTATGCATACAATTCTTTGGTGGATCAATTCCCACCGACCCACTCAACATTCACTTTTAAAGGGTATTTGTCCTCCTGTTTCCTCTCTTACAAGGTCAAAGGAGTGAACATTACAGGGTCCATTTGCTTTCTGTTATCTGTTCTTATGGCCTCGCAATTGTTCTAGAAAGGAGAATTCTGACTCAATTGGGCAAGATGACTTTTAAGAGTGCTGGCCATGGCCAAGACCGGTTTGGCTCAATGGATAGAGCGTCGGCTTGGGGACTGAAGGGTCCCGGGTTCGATTCTGGTCAAGGGCATGTACCTTGGTTGTGGGCATATCCCCAGTAGGGGGTGTGCAAGAGGCAGCTGATCGATGACTCTCTCTCATTGATGTTTCTAACTCTCTCTCTCTCTCCCTTCCTTTCTGTACAAAATCAATAAAATATATTTAAAAAAAATAAGTGTGCTGGCCAACGGGTTCAATGAACACAAACAAACAAACAAACAAACAAACACTGAAACTTGCAAAGTACTTGCATTTTAGTCTCTCCCCCCCCCCCCCCCCCCCCCGCCCATTGCAAAACTGTTAGTGTGTACTGGAATCACACCTTCAGCTTTAACTTCAACACAGGCAGTGGGGTTGAGAAAGGAGAGAGAGAGAGAGAGAGAGAGAGAGAGAGAGAGAGAGAGAGAGAGAGAGAGAGAGAGAATAAAAACCTGAACAGGAGCAAAGCCCCTCCTACTCTGTCCACTGTTGGCAACCTGGGCATGAGCAGGGGTGGGGGGAGAGTTCCTCCTTGGCCACAGCCGCTTCCTCCTTGTCTGAGTCAGCACAAGGTCAGCCGCGAGTGCTCTCTGCCCAGCCAGCGAGCCTGCACACCAGCCTCCTACGTGCTTTCCTGCACGGCGCTGAGACAGTCCACCAGTTCACTAGAGAAAGGCTGGGAAACTCTCAAGATCCTGTGTAAACTGGATCCTAACATAGGGGGATCAGTCAGAGAATGAAGGTTTGGGAAAGTTACGCTGTTTGGACCCAGCAGTGTAAGTGAAATCTGCCCGAGATCCCTTTTCCCACTGAAGCTGTAAGAACAAGGAGAGCAGGGATCCAGCCGGAGCCAGAGCTCATTAAACAATCCCCCTGGCACCTTCCAGAGCCTAATCGGTTTATTGCAACATTTTTCCACGAAAAGCAAAAGGCAGGTTAACTACCTTTTGACCCAAGGGTCGCTGCCCCAGAAGCATTGCACAAACAACCCCTGACCCGAACCCCCTCAGTCTCTCCGTCTCACCATCCCTGGGGGTGAGGCCTCAATCTCGGATACGATGTGACTCTCGGCCACGTTGCCTGTCCTCACACGCAGACCCCAATTTGTATTAACTGGAGCATTCTCCAAGAATCAATCACCCTTAGGGTAGGCCTTCCTGACCGTCTGCCCAGGAATTCTCCAATGGATGGTGACAGGAATGACCATCACCCAGAAGTAGTTCTAGCAACAGACATGCAAGGTAATAGTCCCCTACGCCCAGAAAAGAAGGCACCTGGACAGGCACTTCTATCTCCAAGAGGCATGGAAATGATCAGTGGCAACGCAGGACGCGCCCGGCTGTACCTCAGGCCTCTGTCCTGCTGCCCCAGCCCTTTCCCTCCCCCAGACTAGGAAATATGGGCAACCAAGGCTGGCCAGGGGGGGACCCAGACCAAGAAGACACACCTTTGACCCAGCAGGGCGCCTAGGACCTGGAGACCAGTTCACTGCAGGACAGGATTGCGAGAGCATCAGCAGTTGTCGCTCTGACCAGTATGGATGCTCAAAAACTTTTGCTTCCGAAAGATGCCCGACGGGGCCATGCCCAAGGACAGATTTCAGTGTTCCTGGCCAAACGGGGGCAAACCCTAAACCTCTGCAATAACCGAGAACACGGGCAGGTTTGCATCAAGGCTTTCCCCCATGTCCCACGAGGGGGGAATTACACACCACCAGCCCAAGCTGGCTAGGGCTAGACGTCATGGTGATTGCTCTTGCGAAAACTATAGGCTTGCGCAGAAAATAACCCCATGACCTTCATAGTTTCAGGAAGCTGACCTACTGACTTTCTGGTTATGCCTTTTATAGTAAATAATTAAAAAAAATTTTTTTTTGTATTGAGGCCAAGACATTTCTTTCTTTCTTTCTTTCTTTTCTTTTTAAAAAAATATATTTTATTGAATTTTTATAGAGAGGAAGGGAGAGAGATAGTTAGAAACATTGATGAGAGAGAATCATCGATCAGCTGCCTCTTGCACACCCCCTACTGGGGATATGCCCGCAACTAAGGTACATGCCCCTGACCGGAATTGAACCCGGGACCCTTCAGTCTCCAAGCCGACGCTCTATCCATTGAACCAAACTGGTTCCGGCAAGACATTTCTCTTTCCATTCTCTTGTACTTTTGTAAGTACTGGAAAGACAGAAAAATAAGATGCACCAATCATCCCCCCTTCCCTTCACCCCAGGAACACCAAAACATTAGGTAAGCAGTTGCAACAGGTTATAATTTTTTAAAGACCCAGTCATTAACCCCTTAATCCCCTCCCAAAAGGTTCAATTGACACAGTGAGAATAAAGTTGACATCACTCTCTTTGTACTCCCATCACGGGGCCCTTATTCACGGCCAAGCATTCTATCCTGTCACTAACACCCAAAGCATCTTTGAGATGCTTATCGGTGGGCGAGGCAGCATATTAAGAAAAGAGATGTTAAGATGGCACAGTCCCTGCCATCTGCATGTCCCACGTGACACACAGAGCCCTGGCCTCGGCGTGCGTCCACCCCGCTGTGCCACCTGTTGCAGGTCACTCAACCTCTCTGGGCTCCAGCTTTGTCCTTGGAGGCCCCTGCCGGCTCTGAGACTCATGGTTACTGATAATGCCTGATGGTTCTCTTCCTACGAACTTTCCCCAAATATCTCAACTTAAAAAGTTTGTGGTAAGGCCTCTAGCTGCCTTCCTTCACTCTTGGCTCCTGGGAAAAAAACAAAAACAAACAAACAAAAAAAACACCCACAAGCTCAAAGCCCTCACGCTCTCTTCTCTGCACCTCGGGCCTCCCAGGGAGGCCTGGCCACACAAACCACAGGCTCCAACTCCTTCCAGCAACGCTCCACGATCCCAAATCAAGCCTTTTCCCTCAATTTTCTTCCCTTCTGCAGGAAACAATACCACGACAGGCCCCCAAATGTCCTACCAAGTCCTGCTAGGCCCTCTGTCTCTCCTCTTGTGCAGAGTCTCGTCCACACCCCCTTTTCTGTGCCCTGAAGAAGCGGAGCGTTCAGGAGCGTCCAGGCTGGAAGAGTCCCCAGGTCCCCAGGACCCGGATCCCTGGCTCGGACCCAGCTCCACCCCCACCCCCTCGAAGGCCTTCCTTTGCCTGTCGGGGCACCTACCTTGGAGGCCGCGGGGCAGCAGCCCCCTCCCCAGCCCGCTCGGCGCTGCATCGGAGAGCCCGGAGGGAGGTGGCAGGGGCAGCCGCCGCCAGCGCTCTGCGCTCCGTTCGCGGAGGAGGAGGAGGAGGAGCCCAAACTGCGATCCCGGGGCGGGGTGGAGGGGAACCCCGGCCCGCGCCGCACCACGCCGCGCGAGCGCCCCCACGCGGCCGCCCGGGACAGCCCAGCCTGGGGACCCGCGGCCAGCGGACAGGGTGGACGCGGCTGCTCTCCGTCTCCTCTCTCTGGGCGGCCCGAGACCCTACAAAGTGTGTTCCCTAGAGTTTGACGGGGAGGCGGGACCCTGGGAGAGAAGAACCGACTTTTCTTTGTGCTCCAGACCCCATCGCCCAGCTCCGCAGACACTCTGCAGGGGCAACGGAGGGCAAGGGTCCCCGAAGTCCCAGCCCCAGCCCCGGGGCCCGCACCTCGGGGGAGCACGTAGGGTCCGGGCAGGTCCCATCCCACCTCTGGCCCCCGGATTGCCGGCTCCACGTGGATCGACAGCTGCCGGGAGCCCGTCTGGATGGAGCACTACACCCCGGAGCGCAGCTGCAAGTTGGACGGCGAGAGTGCAGATGGCAGGACGCCAGGCCAGGCCGTGGGGAGCACGTACCTGGTGCAGCTCATAAGCCCCGCGGCGCAGAGGCTCCAGCCCGCGGCCGCATTGGTGCCGGGGTGGCGGGGGCAGCCGGAGCGGCAGCAGGAGCGCGGCCCGAGGCTCAGGTCCGTGCCCTCCACCAGCAGCCGCATCCGTCCGTCCGCGCCCGGAGCCCGCTCGCCGCCCCACGGCCCGCCGCCGCCGCCCGGGACTCCGGCTGCCGGCCGCCCGCCGCTCCCTTTAACTAACTTTCGGGCCACCTCTCCCGTCCCGGGGTGCCATCCCAGACCCCCTTCCACGTGAGCGCCCCCCGCAGCCAATGGGCGTGCAGGGGCCCCGAGCAGCGGCCAATGGCAGGGGCGCCACGTGACACCCTCCCGCGGGGAGGGATGGGGCCTCGGGGCAGGCGGCTGGTCGCTGTTTCATCAGAAGCCAGGGGGCAGGCGCCGGGGGCAGAGGCATTTTCTTGCAGAAGAGCATCCCCCCATGGCAGCAGGAGGTCCGGGCACGTAGGGTTCACGAAGTTTCCTCTTTCAGGCACCGTCCTAGCGGGACAGACCTTTCCATACTTTCCCCCGCTGGCCCGCCTCCATCTGCACTTCAGCTGCGGGGTTCACAGCGGACCGTGACTTCCCCTACCACCTGCGGAGACCGGGGGAGCCCCGAGGAAAGACTTGCGTTTCCTGGCTAGTTAGGTGGCCTTTCTTTGGGTTAGCTATTCCCAGATCCTGAGAGAGGGTCTGAACAATTATTGAGCCCAGATGATGGTGTTCAGTGGTTGGACTTCGACCTATGAACCAGGAGGTCATGGTTTGATTCCTGGTCCTGGCACGTGCTAAGGTTGTGGACTCGATCCCCAGGTGGGGGAGGCGGCCGGCCCATGATTGATGTTTCTCTTCCTTTTTCTCTGAGATCAATAAAAATATATTTAAAAACACATACACACAAACACCCCACAAAACAAAAACACAATTCTTGGATGCATGCTTTGTGCCTGTCATGGTCCAGGTATTACTGTGGAAGGAATATAGTACAACTTTTTTTTTTTTTTTTTTTTTTTTTTTTTTAAAGAAATAATGTTGATATTGGGACAAAGGACTAAACCCATCTCACAGAGTGCTGCATGTATATAGCTGAGGTTTTCTCAGATAGGTGAATTTTAGAGGAAATTACCTGACTTGAATCTGTTATAAAAATGACCTAGAGGAAGGAGGAGGAGGGTAGGTGGGAAAAGTTCAATCAAAGAACTTGCATAACTCATGGACAAAGACAATAGGGTGTGAAGCCCTGGGCAAGGGGGCAGGGGCAGGCTAGAAGAGGTCAATGGTGTGAAAAAGGGGACATATGTAATACTTTCAACAATAAAGATTTAAAGAAAAATGACCTGGACCTACAGGGCTTCCATGATCTATGTCTATGACATAGAGAATGATGAGATTCCAAGAGACCGAAAGCCCCTCCTCTCCTATGAGAATAACAAATTTACATTTATATAGTCATTTATATAATCCCCTTTATGATGGATCAGCTTTGAGCAGGTCACTTTAGGGCTGAGGATCCTGGCTTCCTAATGTTAATGAGTTTTGGAAGGTGAAAGATGTGTGCCAACTTTTTAAAGTGCCAAGTAATGACATTGAATTAAACACACACACACACACACACACACACACACACACAATCACACACACAGCCTAACTAGTTTGGCTGAGTGGATAGAGTATCAGTCTGTGGACTCAAGGATACCAGGTTCTATTCCGGTCAAGGGCATGTACCTTGGTTGTGGCACATCCCCACTAGGAAGTGTGCAGGAGGCAGTTGATCGATGTTTCTCTCCCATCGATGTTTCTGACTCTCTATCCCTATCCCTTCCTCTTTCTGTAAAAATCAATAAAATATATTTAAAAAACACCACAACTTACCATCTTCTGTTACCATCCTTTTATTTATTTTTTAAAAGTTCTTTTTAACTGCAATAACAACAGAACGCAGGAAGGATGTAATCCCAAAGTAAGGTCCTTTACCTTGGATATAATTAGCTTCATGAAAATTCATTACGTTGAATATGGTTTGGGGGAAATTCTGCTTTCAGGGATAGAAGAGCACATCCTAATTTTACTAGGGATCTAAGACTAAAAGGCTAGTCAGTTATAGTAATCCAATACAGGCCTTCAGTTTACAGAGTTTCCCCAGGCATAGTCTCCCTGTTAAAGGGCAATCATTAGTCCTCTTCTTCTCTTTCAATGGGCAAATCTGATAAAGGACCACCTGCGAAATCAGCTGTTGGTAAGCGGTTGGCAAATAAAGCTTCTGTGCAATACTCCCTTTCCCAATCCTAAACCCCCTTTATTAGCTGATGAGTGGGTTGAAGATTTATTAAGCCAAGGGTTGGCTGCGTTTCTCGAGCGTAGTGAGCATGCTAACGGAGTGGGCAAAGAGAAAGAGCCAACAGGTATTGCAAAATGTGTGCAGGCAAAGGGTGATCCGCACCAAACTGGGAAGAAGTTGGAACAAGTAAATACAATTTTACGGCATTCGGGTTTGGAAGCATCTTCCTTGCATAGATCTAGGAAACCGTGGGTAATAATTTCCCCTGTGGTTTTGGTGGCTATTTCAGACCAGGAGAGTGGGGCTAAACTTAGTCGTGGCATACCGCAGTCTCGGTAGGTAGGAGTGTGGCACCTCTAAGTTTGAAAAGAGCACAGTTTCGTTTGCTTTCAGAATGGATCTGGGGTACAAGGTCTGGAGGACTGTCCCAGCAGAATGCATGGCAGTCCCAGAGCCCCGAACCTGACGGCTGGGCTGGCCCTTGGGCACGGAGATCTTGCCTCACCTTCTCATTTTATAGCAGAAAGAAAGTGAAAATGGATCATTTCAACCCTTTAGCCTAGGGGTGTCGAACTCAATCAGAGAAGGGGCCAAAATCTAAAATCCAGCCTAAATCGCGGGCCGAATGGTTTACTGAACAGTCATAAACTGTCATTGTGATGGAAACGCAGCGGAGTGCAGTGATGACAGCGCGGTGCGGGCCACATTGCAAGGCCTGGCGGGACGGATTTGGCCCGCGGGCCTTGTGTTTGACACATGTGCTTTAGCCAATGCATACCAAACTCCTTTTTATCATATCGGGCATTTTAGTTTTAATTTCATTTCATAAGGCAACCATCCCCTCCTCAAATAAATAAAAAAGACTAGCATTGTATCATCATTATTATTTTCCCATAAATTGTTCTTTTTGGGGTCTATTAGTGGTGGCACTGTCTTTTCTTCTCTCCATGTGGGCTTATTGGTGAGTCCTTCAGTCCCTTCTTACACATTTCATTCATTCAACGACATTCATTATTGAATAACTACTGGAAATCTGGGTGCTAGAGATGGAAGGCGGTGCATGTGCAGCCGTGGAGGTGGGGGTGGGAGAGGGGAAGGTCAAAGAAGGCTAATGAAGAAGTGACCATTGAGCAGCATCCTGAAGGGGGAGTCAGAGTTTAGGGGTAATGGAGAGAGCATGGCAGCAACTGGCAAAGGCCCAGAGCTCTCCACCTTCCCCTAAAGAATTTCCATTCTAAGTAAAACATCGTTTCTGTAGGCATGTGTTAACATCAGCTTTGTACTCATCCAGAACGTTGTTTTAAAAATAGTGTTCATGTCTTATCTCCTTTTCAATTTAACACATTTCAATTTAACACAGCCCAAACTGAGGTCCTACTGTCAGCCAAGAGTTTGGAAGAAAAATAGTTTTGTTTTTTCCATTCTTAGAAAACATGATAACATTGCTTCTCCTGGAATAAAAAAGTATTGCAGAGCAAATCTAAATAAAAATAACCAAGGGTCGGAACTAAAAAAGAGGACATCCTTGTGCCCGATGAGAATAGAAAGAGGGAAAGACTTTCCCAACTGCCCGAGTCGGGTTATATTTAGACGAGCAGCGTTGTTTGCACCTGTCAGGCATGTTCTGGGCGCATCGCGTTACCTGGGGCCCCTGCCCCTCGTTCACATTTGACTGAAAGTGACTTGCCAGGTCATGTCTTATGGGTTAGGCAGATGCATGCTTTAACAGAGGTTATTCTGTAAGCCTCTAACTATGGAGGATGCTTCCTCAGCCCAAGAGAAGGCCTAGACTGGTTTACACGTCCAGGGCTCAACAGGGCATTTTCCTCACCCTGGAGGGCTTTTGAGAGCCTGGGACCTTTTTTTTTTTTTTTTTTAATCTATTTTATTGATTTTTTACAGAGAGGAAGGGAAAAGGATAGAGAGCTAGAAAACATCGATGAGAGAGAAACATCAATCAGCCGCCTCCTGCACACCCGCTACTGGGGATGTGCCCGCAACCAAGGTACATGCATGCCTTTGACCAGAATTAAACTTGGGACCTTTCAGTCTGCAGGCTGACGCTCTATTCACTGAGCCAAACTGGTTTTGGTATGGGACCTCTTTTTTAAGAACTATGTATACAGAGCAGCTTGTATTCCATAGCTTCTTACCTTGTACAGAGCTTTGTACAAACCTGACATGATAACTTTCATTTATATTATTATTTTTATGGTTATAAAACTAATACAAGATCATCATAAAAATTATGGAAAATACAGAAAAATGAGGAGAAGAAAATAGAATCAGCACCACCCAGCAATCACTACCAATATAACTCACTGTCTTTTCGTTCAGTATTTATTCTATACATAAACATTAGATGATCACAATCATAGAATATGTGAAGTTTGATATCTTAATTTTTTACTAATGACTGCTTCTCAGTTTTAATATTATTATAATTTAGTATTAATATTATTGTAATTTTTCAGACATGCTTTTTAAAAATATGTTTTTATTGATTTTAGAGAGAGAGAAAGGGAGAGGGGAGATAGAAACATCAATGATGAGAGAGAATCATTGATCAGGTGCCTCCTGCACGCCCCCTACTGGGGATCAAGCCTGAAACCAGGGCAAGTACCCTGATGGGGAATCAAATTGGTGACCTCCTGGTTCATGGGTTGACACTCAACCTCTGAGTCACACTAGCAGGGCCAGGTATGCTTTAAAAAAAAAAAAAAAAAAAAAAAAAAAAATATATATATATATATATATATATATATATATATATATATATATATATATATATATTGATTTCAGAGAGAAAGAAAGAGAGATATAGAAACATCAATGATGAGATGGAATAATTGATTGGCTGCCTCCTGCATGCCCCTACTGGGGATCAAGCGTGCAACCTGGACATGTGCCCTTGGTGGGAATCAAACCCCAGACCCTTCAGTCCGAAGGCTGACTCTCTATCCACTGAACCAGACCAGCTAGGGCT